CAAAATACTAATTCAAAAGAATATATCCACCCCTATGTTCATTGCCCTGTTATGTACAATTGCGAAGCTATGGAAGCAAAGCAAGTGCCCATCAATAGACAAATGGATAAAAAAGCTGTGGTACATATATACAATGGAATACTACTTAGCCATAAAAAGAATGAAATCTTACTATTAGTAACATCATGGATGGACCTAGAGGATATTATACTAAGTGAAATACACCAGTCAGAGAAAGACAAATACCATATGATTTCACTTATATGTGGAATCTAAAGAACAATATAAACAAACAAATAAAACAGAAACAAACTCATAAACACAGAGAACAGACTGATAGTTGCCAGATTGGGGTGTACAAGGGGGCCTGGATAAAAAAGGTAGAGGGATTGAGAAGTATAGATTAGTAGTTACAAAGCAGTCACAGAGATGTAAAGTACAACATAGAAAATATAGTCAATAATACTGTAATAATATTGTTTGGTGCCACAGTGGGTACAGGAAATTTGGAGGGTAACACTTTGTAAAATATATGATTGTCTAACCATTGTGCTGTATACCTGAAACTAATACAAAATAATACTAAATGTAAACTGTAATTTAAAAAATGTTTAAAAAGTAAAATAAAAAATATAAATGGATTTCCATTGTATTTAGAATAAAATCCAAACTCCCTTTAAAAAAATTATGTGATTTTTTTAAGAGCTCATAATCCACTTTGGACAATTTCTTTGCTATTTCATTTAGTCTTTTTGTTTTCTGTTTGGCTAAGACTGTTTGTCTCTATAGCTAATCTCACAAATACAATTTAAGGAAGCCTGGGAATTAGATAGTGATGAAAATCTCTAATCATTGTTGACAGCAAACAGGAAGAAGCATAACAGGAGAGTCAGAATACTGGCCACCACCCCTGTATCCCCAGCCCTGCTGTGGGTGAAAACAAACAACAGCAACAAGCTAGCTCTTATCAGCAGAATGCTGAATTCATCAACACAAATTAACTGTATTTCACTCCAAGGTAGATTAAGCAGAATCTTGTTTTTCTACACAGCAAAAAAATGTTGTGTGTCCAATTATGTAATATATCATTGTTCACCAACTCCAATAATGTCTTTAACAACCCTAAGACACAGCCCTGTTTCCTCCACAGAAGCCTATATCCATTACCTAGAATCTTCAGCCCCTCCGAATTTCTACATGGTTTATATTCCAAATTGTACACTCCAGCACTTTGATATTTTGTGCTTTACACTGCTGCTTACAGGTAAGTTTTATCTTCCTAGTTTATTCCAGTTTATTCTCCTTCATCATTTTCCACAGGGTCTAAAGTGGGGCACGTGCTAAAGAAACAGCCTCTCAAGACCACTCAGCAATGTAGAAACAAGTACCAACAGGAGGAACGGTCCTTGGTTCCCATTTCCCTCAGACTGTTTTTTTGACAGAGCCAAGAGAAAACATTAGATTGGACGCAAGGAATACTGACATGGATAGAATTCTTCAGCTAATTTTCTGGCAGGGTTATTGGCACAAGTAGCCAAATATTAATAAAGGAAAGAAGGGAAGGGAATCAGACATTATTAAGCACAATAAACTGGAGTGCTGAATCAGACACTGAGCCTGTTGCTTCACTAAGAGGTTACAGTTTCACACACTCCCCAGGGCACCCTTCACCCTTGGGACCAAACTCTCCCAAAGTGGGCAGGAAGTATCGTTACAGGGGGAGGAATAAAAACAGCAGGAGAAATCCCTCTGCTGGGCTCATGTGCAGTAGAAGCCAAGATGGCAATGGGGAAGGTAGGAGGAGAGGTGCTTCTACCATGAGGAACGTGCAGTGCAGTAAGAGCTAAGACAACCACCATGGAGGCCAGTCAGTCTAGCCTGGGATAAGGATCCGATTGGGTAAGGGACACAGGATCAGGGAGATCTAGGAAATGGATTGGTTACAGGGTACCAGAGCCAACTGGCAAAAACTTAGAAAATTAATTGGTTAGTTTAAAGGGCTCTTGGTTCTTCCCAAGCCCAAGATAATATAATCCCAATTTAATAAAGAAGCTTTCTCCTTCTCCCTTGCTCTCACCCTCTCCTGTGCCCTTGCCTACATCCTTGCCATCACCCTGGTAACACATGTTCGCCCCTATCATTTTGACATTCTTTCCCTATCAGCCATGTGCATCTAGCAGCCATGCAGACTCCAAGTGCAGCGCAGCACCAGCCTCCAGAGCGCAGCTGGAGACTAAGATAGAAGAGACTAAGATAGAACAGACTAAGTTAGCTGGATGTAGACAGACATGGCTGAAGCCGTGGTGCAGAATGCTGGACCCTGACCCTGTTTCTGGGCCTGATGAAGACAAGGCTGAAGTTTTTCCACAGAGGGACAGAACTAAACTCAGGACAGCCCTTTGTGTTTACTTCAATAAGCCTTACCACACCACATCCTCCTATGCATGGGCCCCTGGAATGCTTTCCTTGAGATTTGGTGAAAGAGCCCTATTTCCACTGGCAAGAGGAGGATCATTGCACTTACCTGTTTCACCTCCACCTTCTACAATACAGACCCTTTATGTCTAACTTCTTAACAGGGTTAAGTCTCTAGACATAACATCAGTCATAATGCACCAATCCCTGACATGCTTCAGTATATCTCAGCCACTGAGACATTTATATATATGCTCTTAGTTAATTTATGGGCAGATTAGCTATTCAGTTTTTTCACCCCACCTTCTTAGGGACTCAACTCTTCTGCCATTTGTGATCGGCAAGGTTGTTTTCTACTTTATTGTCTTCATAGACTTCTTTTTTTCTTGATCTCAGCACTAGCTCTGCTATTTGTGTAATATTAGTTTTTCTTTCTTTCTTCACATTTTGAATTTGGTATGAAATTAATGAAATTTGAATTATAATGTTCTATCAATAGAGACAGAATTTCTCTTGCCTGGTTGCTCTTAAAGTAAAATGAGGTTGCTGACACTTTCAGCTCTAAAACTTAGAGATTTTTCCCTCTGAAGTCACACCCAGTTTATTTATACACGTGTGTATTTTTTCCCTCTGAGAAGAATGTTCTGAAGGCATGATATCACCAGTCTTTGAGGAACATGCTGTAGGGTGACTAAGTCATCAGCCCTTGAGGACACTCTGTTTGGATAACGGTGGGGACTTGCCTGTGAGGAGAAAGCTGCCTTTCACAGAAAGGCATGGGAATAGCTCACAGCTCAAGGCAACTAAAGGTTTAATTTCTCTCTTTGAGAAGGCGCCATAGGAAGCACTAGATTTAAGCAAAATCTTTATGAAAGGATTCCTTCTCTGAATTTTCCAAACAGGTCTCTTTGTTATTACCTCAAGGGAACTGACAACCAGTCAGGGAATCAAATATCCCTTATCATTTCTAGACTATTTTACCTCACTGTGCACACCTCATTGGCAGGGGGGCTGCAAATAGTTCTCTCAAACTTCACTCAAACCAATCTGCTGTGTCTGAAATGCCTCCACCCTTTCTGGCCTTGTGTATTTGACTCCTACACCATGGGGAAATCCCCTTGGATTCCGAAAGAAAATTAAACTCCTTGGAATCCAAAACTAATAAACTTTCACAGAGTGGCCCCAAGTGGATTGGTTATCGTGCTATTTCAGTCTCACCTAACCAATAAGAGGGCTGGTTGGCAAGTTCCCAGGATGAATATTCTCATATGAGCATTGAATTAGAGAAAGCCAAAAGATTTTTGGCCATCTACATGCTCAACTTACACCCCACATGAGTTCTGAGGTAGAGATCTTGTGACGGTTGGGGCCTTGCAAAGCAATTAAAAGAAATAAAGCAAAGTATTATATTTTAATTGATGTAATCTTCAAGCTCCCAGTGGAATCTTGGGTGATATCTGACTAGAGTTACCCTAGGTATCAATAGATGACTATTCTGTGAAAGTGCATTTAAGAAGACAAAACCCTACAAATCCTGAACTTCATTAACATGTGTATCTGTTTGGGGGAGATTGGCTCAGACTCCCAGGACTACAAATTGAAAGAAGCTACCTAGGCTTTTCTGGGATCTGAACAAAGAGCCAAAGTGGGTGGGGGAATGAAGAGGGCAGTGGAGAGAAGGAGAAAGAGAGAAGCGCAGGTGGAGGGGAAGACACAAAGTAGGTTTATATTTTTATTTGCTCTTGGAGTGCCTGGATATTAGACACGTCAGATGATTTTTTTCCAAACCAAAACAGCTTTCATCCATCACTAACATTTCAGGGTTTGTTTCTGTTTTATTATAAATATTCCAGTCAAAGAAAGATAAACAGACACGAAAAACTGTTTTATACAGTATACAGAGTCAGATAGAAAATACAGAATGGAAAAGAAAGTCAACAACCAACAAGATAAAAAATAGAGACCAACGAAGGAAGAGAACTAGCTGGTTGCAAATCTACTCACCAGCTTGAGTGAAGTGGAGAGATGGTCTCCACAGCTAACAGAAATTGCCCAGTGCTATCACTCTTACCTTTGTTCCACATGGTGAAAGGAACAGACTTTATAAATGAATCATGGAACATTTACTTCACTAACCCATTAAAAAAAGGTTTGCTATTGATCAAGATATCTTACTTATAAAAATGAGTTTTTAGAAAAAAACACCCTCTCCCACCCCCAATGTGGTCCCAAATGTGGTGCCACATTGTCAGAAGCAAGGGACGGAGCTGTGGGTGGGAGCAGTGCGGAACCACTGGGGTCCGTGAGAGTCTGCCTCTGGGCACCTTTCCCACCAAATCCACCTTTCCCCATAAGGCTTGAGGCAAGGTTTAAAAAAATACTCATGTACTGCACAGCTTGCTGTCATTTAGTGTTTAAAGAAGAAAAAATAAAAAAGAATTCAAATTCACAAGACAGAAGGTCAGCCTAGGACAAAACTGGCATCTCTTATAGGTATAATCAGAGGTACCACTTGGTCCCCCAAATGGCAGCTCTAACTAATTGTTCTGCCACGAAGAGAATGTTGACCTACCCAAACAGCAAAATCATGAATTAAGCTCATCATCTTCCAAAGATGTCTTTATTTTAGTACATTCAGAACAGAAACAACGTGAGGACAAATTGATTGAAGGTGGTAGTGGTGGTGGAAGTGGTGGTAGCGGCGATTTATTTCCTGCTTCCTCTAAACTTTTTAAGTTTACAATCATAAATTGCATAGAATTTAAGTTTTCTTTCAGAAAATGAAAACTCTCTGCATGAAACTCCCAACGGTGAAAACAAGCAAAGGTCAAGCAGCTGTTGGAAGCCTCACCCCTCCCAGCAGATGAGCTACAAACACTTAACAAGCAGCTCTCTGAGAGCCTGGAAAGCATCCATAACTAATTTTGCAGATGGAAGAGAAGTTCAGTGCTTTGCTACGGTCACATAAGGGGGCTACTGCCCGAGTTGAGGTTAGAACTCAAGAATTTCCAGTTCACAGACTTGTGTATTGGCTACGAGACCCACCTGTCTCCCAGGACCACAGCAAACTCTTAATTATTTAAGGTCTTTGCATTTCATAAATATACACATGTACACACACATTTGCACCCAGGTCTCATGTCTAATAACAAGAAACCACTCAATCCACAATAGCATTGGGGCCTGGCTTCACAGGCAGCTACTGAGTTTGGTTAAAAGAGATACACTTGACAAACAGTGCATCGCAGCAGGGGACCCTTCTTTATCCTCTGTGAATGCTGTTCCGTGTGAAGCGGACTTCACAGTGGGAAATTCTCTTCCCTCTCTGCTCCTTAGACAAGGCTCCAGGTAGTTGGTGAGCTCTACTCGTCTCGCCTGTCTCTCTCCTTCAGAGATCACAAAAGACAGAACCAAATCCAGTGATAGTGAAAATCGGAAAGAGAAGAAAAGGACACATTACCCCAGGACTACGCATTGAAAGAAGCCACCTAGACTTTTCTGGGATCCAAACAAAGAGCCAAAGTGGGTGGGGGAATGAAGAGGGCAGAACCCCAGCCATTGGAAGGTTTCACTGAGTAAACTATGAGTTAATTGGTTTGAGGGGATTTAAACATTACTTTAAGGAACTTTTGTTTGAGCTCTCCCCCTTTTTCTTTCTCCTGCCAGAGACTCTTCTCCTACACTTATGCCCTCATCACCACACAGAAAGGGGAGTTCAGCACCTGAAATCTGACACACTGGCTGCTCCATTTCCTAAAATTTAGGAAAGAGGATCAGAGATTATACTTCTATTCCCTAACCTGGTCTACCCCTTCAGATAAACAAGCAGACAAAAACAATGAATAGAATTGAAAAGACAACAAGGAAAAGGGGAGGAGGGGAGAGAAAGGGGAAAATCAATAAAATACCAACAAAAATATACAAATCCAGAAAAGAAAAACTTCCCTGTTGAGTTTATTCTTTTTTTCTTGTAAGAACTAGACCCAGAGTACAATGGCCCCTTCCTAATGGGAAATTCCACCAATTCATTGGCCTGACTTGGGAGGGACCCCTGCCCCAACAGTCACTTTGGCGGCAAACAAAGGCCCGCTGGGAGAACAGGGGTCCTGGTGGTCCGGTGGGAGAGCGTCCCATCCCCACTCGGGGGCAACGTCTCTGGGTGCACCCAGCTTCTGGACCAGGGCACAGTCTCTGGCTGGGGCGTTGGTCTCTTGATCTTTTTGTAAAATTCCTGGATCCAAAATCCGGAGAGAAGTGTGGACGCTTTCCAGTCAGGGCTCTGGACAGCCAGTAGCGCCCCCGGGCACTGGCGCCTCCCTGCCTAGCTTCGAGAGTCCTGCCTCGAGAGGGCTACTCTGGCTCGCTGCTGTTGGTGGCCTTGTCCCACTCCAGACTGTCCTCGCTGCGGGCGGGAGACGGCCGGGCCCGCAGGCCCTGGAACCTTCGGCACTCGGGGCAGACGCGGATGTGAGTACAGCCGCGAGCCACCAGTGCAGCCTCCTGGGCCAGTCGCTGCGCCAGCTGGTCAGGCTCCCCAGCCCCAGCGCCGCACAGCTTGCCGTTGCTGAGAGTCGCGGTGCCCTGGAGCCGGTGCTCCTCGGGGCCTGGGGGTCGGGGCCGTGGCTCTCCAGTGCGCCGCCGACGAGGGTGGACTCTGTCCTGACACAGGATGATGCTGCGCAGCTCCGTCACCATCTCCTGGCAGACGGACACCTGGAAAACACGAAGGGGTCACAGCCCAGCCTCTAAGAGTTAGCCCCTGGGGTCCCATGTACATCTGTTCGGATGAGTTTAGGGCCCGTGTCACAGAATCATATATATATATATATGTATATGATTATATATGACTATATATAAATATATGACTATATGTATATGATTATATATGACTATATATATATATATATATATATAAAATCTTGGATATGAAGATTATATGAAGGCTTTTCAATCCATCTCCTCACTCCCAGCTCCCAGTTAATATTCAAATGCCCTAGTATAATGTTCACCAGCCCTGCCAGCTGGTTGCCCAATCTTTGTTAGAACACCTTCAAAGACGATGGCCTTTCTGGGATAGGAAAGAGTCCCTGCCTGTTTTGTTGTTGTTTGTTTTTGCATTTCTATTAAATGCTGCTTGGGTCTACTGAGTTAAAAATTCTGCTCTTGGAAATTTTCCATTAACACCAGTTAAATTTGGACCCAGAGGCCCACTAAATTAACAACCCTTTTACTCCATGTGAGTCTGTCAGGTATTTGAAAAAGCTACATGTCGGCATGAACATTCTGTTCTCAAGCTAATGATTCTCATTTCTTTTAACTGAATGTGCTGGAGAAGATGCACTCCAACCACTGAAACAACAAAAACCAGTGCAACATACTTCTACAGGTCCCATCCCATGATATAAAACCCAGCTGTGTTTCAGAATATTCTGGATTTTAGGAAGGTAATACAATACACATGCAACTGTTATGTGTCATACCCAGTGTGGTCTGGAGCAGACTCTACACTCAAACACACTCATATTTCTATGGTGAAATGAATGTACCTACACACTGAATGAGACAAAGACCATGCACAACAGTTTCACATCAATTCAAGTTTTGTCACCAGATGTATTTGCCTGACACACTTATAAAAAATGCGGAACTTTCTGAGCTTCTTATATTTCAGAATTATGGACGAAGAATCATGAATCTGGACTTGCTGCTACTATTACTACTATTATTCCCACTTCATAGATGTGAAAATGGAGGCTCAAATGCTATATATCTTACTAAAAATTACTGGACTAATAAATAGCTGAACCAGAATTAGAACCTAAACTTACCTACTCCAAAGAGCATGCATGCTCAGTTTAGTTGTCTACCCTGTGCTGGAAAGGACACCTCCCCAGACCCTGATGGGAGAAGAAGGCTTCTGTTGTTTCTTGTTCTTTCCTCCAGTCTTTCAATTCTGTCAACAGGACTGTTGTTTGACCATAGCCAAATAGCTAAGGTAGCTCTTACTCTTTTTCATTTTAGCTATTTGGAGTCCTCACTGGATTTTCAAGGTACCTAGGCTATGGGGTGAGAGGCTATGTGGTTACTATTGGGAGAGCAACCAAATGTGTAGATTCTTCACTTGAAGCAACTACAGAGAAGTAGTGTCATCTAAAAGAATATGGCCCAAGTAAGAATTGAGACCTGAATTCTAAACAAACTATTGGTACTAAATAGCAGAGACTCTACGCAAGGAACTTGACTTCTCTGTGCTTTTAATAACAACTATAACAGGTAAAACACCATCACCTGCCTAATCTGTTACATGTGACAAGAATGTAACAACTTACATCTTTTGACTGTGCCTTTCATGGAAATAAAGAGATGAAAGACACAGTCCTAATTACAGCACAGTGAGTAAGCGCTTGGTGCACAGGCTATACTGGTGCTAGAAAGGTGGTGGAATAATGAACACTTCTGGTCCAGAGAAGAGGGCAGGGGAGTTGAGGAAGGCTTCACAGGGGAAGGAACACCAAATTGGTCTTTCTTTCTATAAGTAATAAAGAAATATAATTCATGTAAGAAGTGGACAACAGTGAAAAGCCAGCAAAACTGTAGAGAAACTAAACAATCTTTACTTGTAAGTAGAAAACATACTTTAGATGGAAGAACTAAAGTTCTGGTTTCCATTAGCAAGCTGGTACTTTTGCCTGTTTTCCTTCAAAATGATACATCTTAAATTATACTTGTGTAAGACTTTGTTGTTCTTAATTTTTTTTCACATAGTCATTTGCTGGGCTGTTTCCTAGAACAGTAGTTCCCAACCGTTTTGGCAACAGGGACCAGTATTTCAATGGAAGGGGCAGGGTGGAGTCAGGGCTCAGGAGAGCTTGAGCTTCCATCACACCCAGTTCCTAACAGGTGTGTGTCCCGAGGGGTTGGAGACCCCTGTCCTGGAAGAATCTGAAACCCGGAAGTTCAATGTTCTTTCTGTGGCTTCATGAGTAGTAGGTGCTGAAGCACTGTCCAGCCCCTGGGTCTGTCCCATAAGTTCTGAATCTTCCTGTGGGTTCTCACAGGATCTGACTGAAATGACTCTTGTCTGCGCACAAGCCTTTGAGCTTGTCCCTTCTGCCAGTGCTACAGGTCACACCCCTTTGGAGGTTTACCTCAGTCACTTCTGAGTGTCGGAGAGTCCATAAAAACTCCAACATAGCCATAAAAATGGCCACGATTAAGCCACAAATAAGAACCACAAAAATTCCACCAATATTCTCCATTCCCAGTCCTGTAAGAAAGTGATAACAAAAATAGTGTAAAAGAGCTGGAAGACATAATCATTCTACCAAAAATGTTCAAAGTCACTTAAATGACAAGAACTTGAGACTTATAGATGTTTTATGTACATATTCCTTGAAGAGGTATGATTCTTTTGAAAAAAAAAATGTGGCGTAGCTGGAATAAAAGAAGGAAGTGGGTACCTAGTTGCAAAGGCTGGAGACTGGTGAAAATCTTCCGAAAGGGACTCTGGGAGTGGGTGGTGGGGATTGTTTTAAGAAAAGAGCTCAGGGAAATTTGTGTTAGCTTGTGATACCAAAATACCTGTACATTCTAGTATTTGCATAAAAATGTTAGTCAATATTACTCATGTGTTTGCTTGATATAAAGCAATTGTTTTTAACCACACTATAGTTTAAAAAATATTAGAGTTGTAATTTAGTTATATATAGTTATAAAATATAGTTATAAAATAAAAATTTGGAAAATAAAACTTTTAATCTTACCTTTTATCCTACCAGACCAATGGTTCCCAATGCTACCTGCCATCAAAACTGCCTGGGAAGTTCATTAAAATATAGATTCCTAGTTATTCCCCCAGACCTAGCAAACCCATATCTCTGGAGATGGGGCCCAAGAATCTGTATTTTAAAGCACATTTCACAAGTAACTCTTTTTCCAGCACTGGTATTTTTGTAGAAGCATTGTATGTGCCTGCTGGTTCCTTTTAGTCAGGCACAGTTTCTGGATGGACCCCCATTGTCCAGCATACACCTGACATGTAAGATACTCAATAAACATTTGTGAAATTATATGGCTTCATTTCTTCAGTGTCAAACATTAAGTTTAGCTAAGTAACTGGATGCTACTTTTGGTATTAAAGAAACCCATCAAAAAGCATCATTTGTCCAGGAAACTGCCAAGAAGTTTGCTTACATTCTGTGCTATTCCGAAATGCTTACACATCTAACTGTTCTATCAATGGTGCCATCACGGGCCACGGCACCGCAGCAGTGTCAGGGAAAGCCCACTTCCCACACCATTGAGAGCTCAGCCATTCAGCAGCAGAGATCTGACACTACTTTCTACACCTGGGAACGCTGGAAAAAGAGCCCTACATAGCCACATCAGGGTGCCTTGGGTTTCCTCTCACAGAGCCCCAACTGGGTGTCTGTTGGTTTTACTTTGGTTTCAAAGTGACAGAGCACAGTACAGTGCCTGTGCTTGCCCCAGTAATCTGCTACCATGGCTCTGAGGGCTCACATAATGACTGTGTCAAATGGACTATATGCTCTGGTCTGCAGGTGCACACAGTCAACTCTGGAGCACCTATGTGAATGAGACCCTCTTTTGAATAATAAAAAACAGGGGGTTATTTTAAAACTCAATTTCAAGGAAGGAATATGGGGTTTGGAATAGATTTCTATCTTTGAGGAGAAGGGTGCTTGGGGTTTATTTGAACACATGCCTCTCTAACCTGGGAACATTTGGGCTGAAGGTTTTTGACCCTAGGAACTTCAGGATCCATGGGTGGGGTAGGGTGAGTGGAGGGCAACAGTAACATTTAAGAGAGAATACACCAAGGATCTGGCTGGAATGCGCAGTCAGATGCTCCAGTCACAAGGGTAAGGGTGGTGAGAACTGAAGTACTGGGATATCATCTGAGCATCATGGATGGCCTAGTTTCTCCAGCTGCCTTTGTGGAGAAAGGCTAGAAGGATAGATCCAGGGAAGGTTTAGTGACCAAGGATGCCCACCTATTCAGGTAAACAGTTTGCAAGTGACTGTTGAGACACTTAGTATATGCCTTTCCACCCACTTTGGGATAGTGCCTTGTATAGAACAAAACACCAGGATTCCCTTAAAGGCCTCCCACCTGCCCTCTTGTTTCTGCAGAACAGGCATCCCTCCTCGCCGCCAGGTCCCATTCCCAAATCGTGGGCTGAGCTGCTTCCCGCCTCTCTGAGCCACCCCGGCCCTCCTCAGTCTTTCCTCCCTACTTACTCTTTCCATTCATACACATGCACACTCACGTTCCTTCTCAAAGAAAAGTAAAAAAATCCATCTTGCCCTCCAACTCTGTCTAGTGAATGCCCCCTTACTGTTGTCCTTCATTCCCTGGACAAGCTTTTTTGAAACAGTTATTTATATCAGAACTATTTTAAGATGTTTTAAAGCCCTTAAAGTGCTTATATTTGCAGACCCCAACTCATATAAAAGCAAGTAAAAGTTAAATGCATTTTAAAATTTTGCTTCTGAAATGATTGAATGAAAAGATAGGGTTAATTTATAATTGGCTGTGATTTCTCAATCTCAGCAACCTTTGTGCTAAATGAGACAAATCTAATACAAATTATTTCTAAGTAATGAAGTTTTTATAAATATTAAATTTAAAAAGTAATAGTCAAAACAATGTCACATTTTGGAGATATTTAATTCAACACGTCTGTCTTAATTTAATTTTGCAGTTTTCTTTTTACATTTTGAAACTAATAATTTTCTGCAGACCTCAAACATAATTTTGGATGCTGGAAAGACTTTTAGGTCCTGAGTAATCTTGTCTATGGTATCTGAAACAGTTCTGAATTCACTTTTGTTTTTCCTATTCACTCCTCATCCCATGCAATTTTGTCCTGCACTGCTAAAACCACCCTCACCAAATTGACCAGAGAACATTTTATTTCTAATTTACTGGAAAATTTCTGGTCCCAATCTTAAGTGATTGCTTGTAGCACTTGACATTATCAATCCTACACCTTTATGGCTTTTAATAAAACCATTGCTCTCTATTGTCTTTCAATCTTCTCAGTCACCTTTGCTGGCTCTGAGGCACATTCTCTCCTTACAATTCTGCATTTAGTCTCTTGCCTCTCCTTCACGCACTAGGCTATTATCAAGTCCTGCTGATTTTATCTCTGTCTCTCCTATCACTTCCTTAGTTCAGGCCCTCTCTGTCTCTTGCTTGGACTATTGCAGCATCCTCCAAAAATATTTTCCTGCTTTTAGCTGTGTCCTTCTCAACTCTTCCCTACACAGAGTTGCCTGCATGGTCTTTCTGAAATGCAGAGCCTAACTGTGACACATCCTCTAGTAACACAAGACAGTTTAGAGTTCCCACCACACATCATTATCGCTCCTAGTTTACGTACTTTTACACCTATTAGCACCTGGACTCTGCCTGGAACCTATCTCCATGTCCCAGACACACACCTGGCAAACTTCAACCTCTCCTTTGAAACTTAGTTTCAGAGACATTTTCTCTGGGCCACTTTTTCTGTTGCTATTTGACTCTCTTAGTTACACTGCTTTTGTATTTTGCTGATAAAGCATTATGTGCCACTCTAATATTAAATAAAACAATACGAGGTCTGTCCAGAAGGTATCCAGCTATATAATAGGAAAAATAGAGACATTTATTGAAAAAGATAAAAGGAACACTATACACAGGACAATGACAACTCAGCCCCTTCAAAGTAGGTGCCTTGGGACCTCACACAGTTTTCCCAATCACCATTAGATGCCCCATCATATTTTCCTGAATCTCATCAATGGTCTGAAATTTCTTCCCTTTCAAAGGTGATTTTAGTTTTGGGAAAAGCCAGAAGTCGCAAGGCCCTAAATCTGGGACTGTTGGGGAGCTGAGTCACCTGGGTGATTTGATATTTCACCAAAAAACTCAGCATGAGACGTGATGCATGAGCAAGTGTGTGGTCATGATGAAGCTGCCAGTCACCAGTTGCCCATAGCTACAGCTTTCTGAATCATCTGAATAGTTTCCTTGGAAGAATATTCAAGCTTAACACAAAATTTGATGCAGATTTGTGGATCTACTTGCTTAGTCATTTTGAATGCAATGGCCACACAGTACACATGCTTACTCAACAGCATCTACTGTCCCCACTGACTAGTACAGTGAAATCGTCATTGTTCACACATGCACATTCCAGTCCACTCTCCTTGGCTGCCAGATTACATCGATGTCACACAAACCATTCACATTATATTAACAACAGCTGGACCTTTTCTGGACAGACCACATACACTAGTTTAATTATGTATATCCAGACTTTCCATTAGCCTGTGAGTTAGTTCCATGAGGGGAAGATCCATGTCTTATTCCACTCTGTAACTCCATAATCGTGGTGACTGAAATCCAATAAGAGCCTGAGAGTGTTTGTAAAAAGAATGAGCAGAAAAAAAGAGGATAAAGGCATTCCAGATTTAGAAGCTTGCATTATCAAAAGCTTTGGATCCATACTGTGATGTGTATTCATTTTCAGTTAACTTTTGTTTGAATAATAGTAAAGTGTGACCACACTTGTCAAGTGCTCCCAGCCTGGTCATAGAGCAGACGGCCCAGAATGCACCAAGCAGGGCCAGGGTGGGCCCACACATCGCTGCTGATCACACATTGTAGCTTGTCAGCACTGGGTCCCAGGCAGCTGTGAGGGCACAGGGTGGGGCCTCAGTAGACAGGTCATCTGTGCAGGCACAACATTGGTTTCATCAGGGAAAGCTTCTTGGAGGACCTGGGGTTTTAACAGGATGCTGGTGGAAACCATTAGTCACTGAAACACCCCACAGTCTTACTTTCCCAGCTTCTCAGGTTTCACGACCAGAATGTTAATCCTGGGAGTCCGCTCCAGAGTGCTGATTCCTGGCTGAGTGGTCTCCTCCTCTTAGGAGTGAGCCCTGTACATGCTTTTAGGAATGTATTAGAAAGTGGGAGCAAGAATAAACTGCTGGCAGAGTCAGAGTTAAGAAACAGATGGAATGTGGAGCTGAGAGTGGGAAGCAAGTGATAAGAGAGTGCAGCACTTTTATTCTACACTGTCATCAGTCATTCTCCTGGAAGTCCATGCCTTCCCTAGCCACATCCGCCACTCAGAGGAGCCTTTGGGTGGACTCCCTCTAGCCTGACCATGACCTTTGCTGCACTCACAAATGCCCTGGGACCTGCAAGGGAAAGCTGTCTAATCCCCTTCCCTTCCCTTATTTAGATGGGAGCCA